CCAGGGTGGCTGGTGGAGCTGGAGCAGAGCCAGCGCCAGAGCCAGCGCCAGAGCCCTGGCCAGGCTGCCCGGCCGTGGGAAATGGCTCGATGAAAAACGTCAAAGAGGTGGTTCTGCCTAAATCTAAAGGGTTTTGACACATTCCTGGATGGGGAGAAAGTATCATGGCTTTTTTTTTTTTAAAAAAAAAAAAACCAACAAAACCCAAATGCATGTTGATGTGTGCATGCAGGGGGGTGGGTGCACACACGGTCACGCTCTTGCTCGCTCAGCCCTCCATCAGAAGTCGCGTGTGGCATTATTTGGAGCGGGGCTGCTGATTATTCGGAAAGGGGCGGCTGCAGGTGTATTCCTCCATCCAAGGAGGTGTTATTTCCACAGCCAAGTAATGCAATGGGCTTGCAAACCCACCCAGCCCAGCTCCATCAGGGGGGGCCATGGGGCCGCTCCAGAGGCAGGGACAGGCTGTGCACCCACCGGCCATCCCAAAACCCTGAGGGGATCGCGCCTGTCACCCAGGAATAAATGACCCACTTGAGGAGTGAGGTGGCCTGGGAACAGGCCAGGGCTGGGCACACACACCCACCGCCATGTACGGCCGCAGCATGGAGCGGGGCAGGAGGGGGTGGCAGCAGGGTGTGCAACAGCAGCCCTGCTTTGCTGTGGGACTGTGGGGTGTACGTGCCCCCCCCCGTGTGTGTGCACACTAGGGCCCGGAGCAGTTGGCTGCAGCGTGCCCCCACGACACGGCAGCAGATGCCTGCTGACTTGCAGCACGAGCCATTTTGCAGCCAACCGTGTGCCCCATTACCAGCTTGTCATCACTCGGAGCTCCAGCCGAACGTCGAGGAGGGGCATTTACTCTATAAAAGGATGCGCAATATCAAAATCCTCTTTATAAAAGGAAAAAAAAAAATAAAATAAATGCAACGCAGAGCTAGAAAACCTTGCGTCCCGGCTGCAACCGTCCTCCCCCGTGCTCCCCTTTTGGGTTTGTTGTTTTGCTCTCCCTTTATATTCCCACTCAGCGTGTCTCTGCCTACAGAACGTAGAAATACATTCTTTTTTTTTTTTTTTTTTTTTTTTTTCTTTTTTCTTTTTCAAAACTCTTCTATGAATTTCAAAAAGTTCTCCCCGCTGTTAAAAGCCCCGGCAGCAGCGGCTGCCCCGGGGGGGGGGGGCAGCCAGCGCCTCACACATCGGTGCTTATGCTGCGGCTGCGGGAGAAGGCTTCCCGCATGGCCGAGAGGCGGTTGGGGTTGAGGGCCTGCAGGTTGGTCACGCTCACCGGCAGCTCCAGGTCTTCCTGGCTCACCGTCTTGTAGCTCACCCGGTCGCCCCCGTTGTGCAGCTCCTCGGGGGGCTCCTGCAGGAAGAAGGTGGGGGGCTCGTACGGCGCGCAGCCGGGGCAGCCGGGTCGGCTCGGTGCCGGACTCTTGCCGAAGGGGGACGAGGCGTAGATGGACGGGCCGTTGGTCAGCACTACGTTGCGGTTGCAGTGGAGCGGCGGGATGTGGGAGTGCACGGCGAAGTCGGGCTCCTCCTCGTCCTCCTCGGACTCATCCTTCTTGCAGCAGTAGTACTGAAACGGGACGGCCCCACGGGGCCGGGGCTCAGCTGTCAGCCCAAACCACCCGCCCGGACACCGCAGGGGCTGCTCTATGCATGCCAGCCCTGGGGACCGCCAGGCAGGGGACACTGGGCTGCCTCTGGGGTCCCCTCCCCGTTGCAGCACCCACATCCCCCCGGCCTTACCTGGAGCCTACAGTAGCAGAGGACGGCGATGATACAGAGTAAAATGACAGTCGCTAATATTCCACCTGTGATGACCACGGTCCCGGCTGTCATCCGCCCTCTTCTCCATTAACAGCCTGCAAAAACGAGCGCACAGGGTGACGGGGTGCAGAGGGGGCCAGGGTAAGGCTGGTGCTGGGCAACGCACCGGGCTGCAGATCCCCAAATCCTCAGCTCACCCCTGTCTGCAGGGGGCTAGAAACCAGGAGGGCTCTGCGGGAGGTGATGGGCAGAATCGGGCCAGATCCTGGCACTGGGTGTCTTTGATAGCCATCAGGGAGTCCCCGTGCCCGCTAAATACCACCTTGCAGGTGCAGGGGGATCAAAAATGCTTCTTGCAGTGGGTGAGAGATTCAGTGAGCAGCAGCTCTGGGGTCACATCGGGCTCTTCTGCATGCAGGAGGGGGGACCCAAGGGAAATAAAACCTTCTGCCCAGCGCTTGTGGCACCCAGGGCACCCTCGCAGCTCCTGCCCAGTGGTAGAGAGCTTCAGTGATGGGAGAAGGAGCTTTGCAGTAAGGATTTCTGAGCTGCACACATTTTTTTCTCTGAGCCTATAATCCATTTTCCCCATGAAAACAATGTGGTATTTTAATTTGGAATAACTGGAGCTGCTAAGTGAGCCTTTAATGACTGCAGGGACAGGCGCTGTCCCCCTCCACGAGCAGCCAGCTGAGGTTTGGGATGTGTTCGCCTGCTGCATGAGGCACCTAGCTCCTTGCCTTCGCCATGGCCAAACCACAGGGTTGGGGGGGGGGGCTGTGGGGGCACCCCAGGATGATGCTTCTGACAGCCTTGGGCAAGCTGTTCATTCCAGCTGTGGCTGGGACCCAGTGCGCTGGACATCACAGAGATGCTGTGGCTCAGCTTGGCCCCACGCTTGCGTTTTGGGGTACCACCAGCACCCTTCTCTCCCTGGAGTGCCCCTTAGAGAAAGCTGGGTGCTGACACAGAACCGGTAGCGGTGGAAGGTCCCTGCTTCTGGCACTGCTGGGCTCACCCAGCAGGCAGACGCTGTGCATCATGCGCCGCGCACGAGCCCCGCGACACCAGCACGGGTTTTCCTCTGAGCATCCTTGCCTCAAGAGCTGGCAGGAGGGCTTGGATTTCCCTCCATCCTGTGCAGAATAAGACCAAGCTCTTTGCCACAGGTAGGATGCTGGGGAGATGCAGACCTGCCTGCACACACCTGCTAGCAGCTATGCAGACAGCGGCACGAACACCAGCATTGCTCCGCAGCTAAAGCTCCAGCAGCCCTTTAGGGCCGCAAGCATCGGGCTGGCAACAGGAGAAGTGACATAAATTAAGAGAGAAATCGTACCTTGACCACCTACTCTACAAGCGCTTTAACAAAGCTGGCCTCCAGCTCACGCTATCAGGTTAAAACAAAAAAACCCAGCCACCCCAGCCCCAAATTACTTCAGCACCCGAGGAAAAGCAACCGTATCTGTCAGGGATTTAACCCGCTTCCAAAGAAAATAAATCTGTGGCATATTTTCAGGCGCTTAACGTCCTGCTAAAGTTGGGTAAGTGCTGAATGGATAAAGCAGTATCACATTTTATGTTGCTGCTGAGCAGCGCTGTAGGAGGGAAAGTAATTTATAACGACGTCTGAACGCCTTCTAGCACCATGCGGCCACGGGGCAAGCGCCGGGCCAAATCCTGCCCTCATTCCTTGGGCAAAATGCTCTGAGGAGGCTCGGGGAGAGTGGTGGGGGAGGAATACAGTCCCGAAAAGGGTTTGCAAAAAAATGCATCAGTGATTTAGAAACTTTGATTCCTGTTTAAAGAGGGATGGAGGCACTGGGCTGCAGACCTCGGGCTGCACCGGGTGCTGCTGCGGGCACACTCACCAGCCCAGCAGAAGCTGGATGGAAATGCCCCTCCGTGGGTCCTTTGCTGCTCACATCTGCAATCCCCGTGCTGCCAGGGGCGTGCAGGGCAGGCGCAGGACCTGGCTCTGGGGGGGCTGGACTCAGCCCTGTGGCCTCTCAGGGCTGGGTGCTGCCCCCATCAGAGAGGATCAGCACCTTGTCAGCCCAAGGTGAAAGGTGGCAGGTAGGGCTCTGGCAGGGAAGGCTCCCCCAGCTTGCTCGTCGATTAATTAAACGGTCACCTACCCCTGGGGGGACAAGCAAGGGTTGCACAGAGCCCATTTTCACAGTTTCTGTCCAGCCAGACGTGGCATCGCAGTCACTGCTCCATCCAGAGCAAGACTCTGCATTTCACTTTTTTTCCTCCCATAACATACTTGTCTGATTAAAGCTGCGTACCTGGAAGCATTAAACTCTCCAGCGTGCAAAGGGGGAGGAAAGCAGAGCATGCAGAGGCCCATAAGCAGAACAATTCCTGTCTAGACCTCCTTTTTACATTTGTTCCTAATTTCACGCTCCACAGGCTCCCAGATTCATATATTTAGTAATAAATATCTTGGTAAAAGGAAGTGCTTTGCAGCTCCGCTGTGGTCTTGGAGAAAGTATGCAGGAGCCCTGGTATTAGGAACGCAGGCACTGAGAGACGTGGTGCCAGCAGACAGAGCAGCTTGGCTCCTTCCTTGCCCCTCGGTAACGTTAGGAGCCCTCCAGCTCCTGAGGATGCCTGAACCCCCACAGCCCCTGGCACATCCTCCATCACTGCCAGACAGCAGGGAAGGGGCTGAGGGGGGGAAGTTAACCCCACAGAGGCTGTTTGCCCCTGGCCCAAGAGCCCTTTGCTGTAGGAAAGCGGCTCCCAGCAGCGAAGGGTGACAGCAGATGGTGCTTCTCGGGGTTACTGGGAGCTGCCATGGTGGTGCAGGCACATGGGAGCTTGGGTGCAACGCGTCCCCCCTTTGCTTTCCCGGTGTGCAAAGGACGGGTCTTGCTGCAACAAACCAAAGCCACTTCATTGCACGGTTGCTACAGGCTGCTCCTGTATGAGCTGCTTGGTTTTAGACACCACCCTGTGCCACCTGCCTGCTTTTGCCAGGACATCTATTGCTGCAGCTATAGCAGCACCTTCCCTGCAGCCCTGCAGTGGCTGGGAAGTCCCAGGGTGCAAGAAAATGGCCTTTTCCATTTCTCTGCAGCCTGGAGAAGACACAAGCAGAGCTCCCATCGCCTCCAGTCCCAGACCGGTGACTTCTTGCCTCGCTGACACCCCCCCTGCATGTCCCTGCCGTGGCTGAGGATGTGGGCTTGGAGGTCGCGCTTTTCACTAGGAGCCAGGTCTGCGCCAGCCTCTGCTCCCCGCTTCGCTTGGGCACTGCCACGAGGGACTGACGGACCTTCCCGACGTGCTGCAGCCCAACCCAGGGGCTGGAGGAAGCTTCTCCCGGTGACTTCTTGCCTCGCTGACACCCCCCCTGCATGTCCCTGCCGTGGCTGAGGATGTGGGCTTGGAGGTCGCGCTTTTCACTAGGAGCCAGGTCTGCGCCAGCCTCTGCTCCCCGCTTCGCTTGGGCACTGCCACGAGGGACTGACGGACCTTCCCGACGTGCTGCAGCCCAACCCAGGGGCTGGAGGAAGCTTCTCACCAGCCACAGAGAACAGGGCGGCACAGAATCGCACTTGACAATGCCGAGAGGACAAGCAGGGGGGGC